TAGATAGATAGATAGATAGATAGATAGATAGATAGATAGATAGATAGATAGATAGATAGATAGATAGATAGATAGATAGATAGATAGATAGATAGATAGATAGATAGATAGATAGATAAATGGAGGTATGCTTGAAATGTGGCGTGGTTTCCTGACCCAAAACCACCCCATCCTGCATGGATCTTACCCAGTGGTGTGCCACAACACTGTGTGACTTTAAACAACACTGTTTATCCCAATCCAGTTTGTTCCAATGAGGGCATGCAGTTGCACCCTCTGTCTTTCTCTTACGTTTTTTCCTGCTTATGAAAGACCGATGGATGTGAGCTTAAATCCAATGGTTTAGGGCAGACCCTGTGAAATCAATGGGACCTAATGTTAGTCTGGAGTTACCGTCCAGCAGTAAATTTAATGCGCTTACTCAAGCTGAGCGCCCTAACGCATGTGCTTGGCTCCTGAATGCACAGGCAAACCGGGATGGGCCTCAGCAACACCATGGCCCGATTGGGCGGCATGGTAGCGCCGGTGGTGAAGATGTCAGGCGAATACGTTCCTTTCCTGCCCCACGTGATCTACGGGGCTGCCCCCATCGTGTCTGGCTTAGCTGCTGCGTTCCTTCCCGAAACCTTGAACGTCCCTCTGCCGGATACAACAGCACAGGTGGAAAACAGGTGCGTACAGAATGGACACACACACACACACATACATGCACGCACGCACGCACACACATGCACACACACACACACACTTCCATTGTTGATGCTTATCAGCAAAAAACCCACTACGGTTCATTAGCTCGGTGGGTTCAAGAAACAGTCGCAAACATGCCGAGTGGTTTTCTAAAATATATTAAGAGATTAGCATGTATACATGACTGAAACAGTGACGTCTGCATTGGCTCGGGCATGTCGTGAGAATGGCTGATGGTCGGATTCCAAAAGATCTCCTGTATGGAGAATTAGTGCAGGGAAATCGCCCCAGAGGGAGACCACAGCTGTGCTACAAGGAGATCTGCAAGCGGGATCTGAAGGCCTTAGGAATTGACCTCAACAGATGGGAAATCTTGACCTCTGAGTGTTCACCCTGGAGGCAGGCGTTGCATCGTGGCCTCTCCCAATTTGAAGAGACCCTTGTCCAGCAGGCCGAGGCCAAGAGGCAGACCCGGAAGTAGCAAAATCTGGGAGCTGGACAGGGGACAGATTGGATTTGTCTTCCGTGTGGATGGGATGGTCACTCTTGAATTGGCCTTCTCAGCCACACTAGATGCTGTTCCAAGTCCTCCATACAGAGCACGTTGCCATAGTTTCTCGAGACAGAAAGATGCCTAAACTAATTCAGAGATTAGCAGCCATACCCAGAAGCAGGCAAAAAGCATTACAAAAAGGAAGGAGAGGGTGAGGAGAGCTGCTGAACATGTATTACAAATCCTTGTATCATACCCTATGATGACCGTCCCCAATTACCAGGTCAGAAAGGGTTCTCTCTAATCAGGGGATAGATTAACTACAGGGTGCAGATGTGAAATGGGACACTTAGATATTGTCCCGGTGAGAAAAACAGGAAAGGGAGTGTAGGTCTTGTGATTAGGGTTTATCTAACAACTTTAGCGGTCAACTTGTCTGCATGACTAAGCTGTTTCTTGTTGATTACATCTCTCAGAGGTTTCCATCTGCCTTAAGTAATGGAAAAAGGAATATCAGCTCCTGTCGATGTCTTGCAGTCTGCCCTGTTAGTAAACCCACCATGTGTTAGCAAACCCAGAAATTTGCTTGAGCTAAAACAAGGGCTGTCTATCACAAAAGGATTATTCTGAGCGACCACCTTCCGATTCAAAATTGAGAAATCAATCAGTGAGGGTGCGGCCACGCAGTGAGAGAACGGCGAATTTACTCGCTGCGTCGTCGCACCGGGGGATTCCAGTTTTCCTTTGGCTTTTCAAACTACAGTGGTGCCTTGCTTAATGACGATAATCCATTCCAGGAAAATCGCAGTTAAATGAAAACATCGTAAAATGGAAAAAAAACCCATTGAAATGCATTGATCCCCGTTCAATGCATTCCAATGGGGTAAAAACACCCCGTCCAGCGAAGATCCTCCATACGGCGGCCATTTTCGTTGTCTGTATAGTGAGGAATCTGTCCCTAAACACAGCGGGGAGCCATTTTAAGTGTCTGGTGGCCATTTTGAAACCACCAATCAGCTGTTCGAAAAACATCCGTTTTCTGAAGAATCAGTTCCCGAAGCAGGGAACCTATCATTGCAAAGCGAAATTTCACCATTCAGACCATCGTTCTGCGATCGCAATTGCGATCGCAAAAAGATCATCGTTAAGCAGTTTCGTCATGATGCGGGGCAACCGTAAAGCAAGGCACCACTGTAACTGTCTTAAACCCGGTGTTTGACTGATGTGCGGTCTTATGCAGATCACGGCGCTGGAAGGACAAGGAGCAGCAGCAAATGGAGGACCTCCTCCATCCCAGCAAGTCAGAAGCCCCCAAGACCACTGTTTAAAGAGAGAGGAGAGTCCACGAGGGGTGGTTTCCCCACGCCATGGAAGTTCCTGAACTGCAAGGCAGATGTTGTGTTTGGAATGGATTCTTACATGTGGCAAAGCCTGTGGGCATCCAGAAGAGGCCAATGATAACACCCAGATGATCTGAACACTGAGAAAACCAGGACAGACTTTTTTTTGGGGGGGTCTGGGAGCGCCCCTCAAAAAGGTGTTGGTTGCCGTCCGATTCTGAGTGCCATTCCATGTTTACTATTTCAGGCCAGTCCCCATCGGAGGAACTCAATGTTGAAGATGAAGCATGCAAACAGAGAGCCTTTAAAAATTATTTAATATACATTTTTAAAAAACAACAACTAAATAATATCATTTGCTGTGCTCCCTCTCACTGGGACCCATAGAAACAATCTATTCTTTTAGTTAATGGAGCCCTTCCAAAATATATGCTCTTTTAAAGGTACACAATCCTTCCCCTTGGTTAATACAAAGTTGATAACCTTCTTGCTCATCTCTCCAACGTATCTCGGAATATATTTCATTCCTATAATTCAGTTTCACTGATGTTAAGTACCACCTCCAAACCAATTTAATTTTTTTTTTGTGCATTCTGACATTTTAAAATTCTTTTATTCCATACATTCTTCTCCTTCTCAGTACTTATTTCCTCTCCTAACTCAGTTTCCCTTCGCATCTTTAAAACCTCTCTCTGATCCTCTACCTTGATGAATATTTTATAAATTTTTACTTATCACCCGCTTCCTTCCTTTCTGATCTGCAGCACCATTTCTTCACATTTTGAAACAGAGATCCTTAGGATCCTGATATTCTGCAGCACTCCATCGACACGGGGCTGGGTGGCAGGACTTATTTTGGGGCAGTGAGAAAGCTTGAGAAAGCGTCGCCGTCTGGCCCCCTTTCACCCCACGTAAAATCCAGCAAATAAACCAAGGGAATTGCACGAGAAAGCCTCACCCGGAAGTACTTTGCACTTTTGTCTATTAATATATAGACAACCAACCAGGTGCTAGCAAGCAGGAGTAACTGAAGCATCATTACAATTCAGTATATATACAATTCAGGATGAACTCAACACCGGTCAGATGCTAATCTGTTCACTAATCTCAGCATCTCTTTCCTCCGGATGTCATTTCATGAGCCAGTAAAGGCCAGTCCCAAACTCTCCCCCCCCCCCACAGCATTCTGCATTTCCCATAGGAATGCATTGAAAACCATTTAATCCGTATCTGCTCTTTTCGTCCATAGAAACTAATGGGAAGTTGCTATTCCGCCTTCTGCCACCAGAGGAGGATATTTTTTCCTTTTTTCCTTTTAACCTAAGATGACTTAGCTTTAAAAAAAAGGAAAAAAAGAGTTCGTAACTCGAATCTAAGTTCGTAAGTCGAGTCCATATATTCCTATGAGAGTGGTTCGTAAGTCGAAACGTTCGTATGTCGAGCCGTTCGTAAGTCGAGACCCCACTGTACTAATCTCAGCATCTCTTTCCTCCGAATGTCATTTCATGAGCCAGTAAAGGCCAATCCCAAACTCTTCCCCCCCCCCACAGCATGCAAAAAGGCAGATCCCCATGGACTGCATGAAAAGACAGGCAGCTGAGGGCCGGGGTAGGGCAGGTGGGACTCTAGAGCAGTGGTTCTTAACCTTTGTTACTTGGATGCTTTTGAACTGCACCTCCCAGAAACCTTCACCACCCCCTCTGCTGGCCAGGATTTCTGGGAGTTAAAGTCCAAGAACATCTGGAGGCCCCAAGGTTGGGGACCACTGCTCTAGAGCACTGGTTCTTAACCTTGGGTTACTCAGGAGTTTTGGACTGCAACTCCCAGAAGCCTTCACCACCAGCTGTCCTGACTGGGGTTTCTGGGAGGTGCAGTTCAAAAGCATCCAAGTAACAAAGGTTAAGAACCACTGCTCTAGAGGACCAGAAAAGAGGAGGAGGAAGGAGAAAAGTGGCATATTAGTATCTGAAGGGCGGTCACATGCAAGATCATAGAAGCATAGAAAAGTGAATTTGGAAGGGGGACCTACAAGGCCATCCAGTCCAACTCCCAGAGGGCCGGACCAGAACTGGTGGGCTCCAGTTGCAGAAAAGGAGATTTTAGCTTAGCTTTGCTTGTGGAGTCCGGAGGGCCGTCTGTCAAGTGAGAGGAGAGCGGGTTGGTCTAGATGACCAATGGGACCCCTGCAGCTCTTTAATCCTATAATCCAGTGCCCCCACCCACCTTGGGCCTCCAGATATTCTTGGACTTCAACTCCCAGAAATCCTGGCCAGCAGAGGTGGTGGTGAAAAGGCTTCTGGGAGTTGTAGTCCGAGAACATCTGGAGGCCCCAAGGTTGGGGACCACTGAAATAATCCACGCCAGCCAGCCAGTTCTAGTTGTTCTCCTCTCCAGCACTTGAGCAACGCTAGCAGATCTGGATGATCTGTCCGAGATCAAGGAGGAATTGCCCAAATACGACAACACTGACAACTCCCTGTGGTGACAACAATCTGCCAGGTCTGCAGTAAGCTGCCCAGATGCCCTCAGCTTCAGGCAGCCCATTGCTGTGAGCCACTTTGGGCTAGATCCAGCTATCTGGGCCCGAGGGCAGAGCGAATACCAGAGGCATTCAAGAGAGAGAGAGAGAAAAAAAATCAGACAACTTTTTATGGATCAGATCTGCTTGGATTGAGGTTCCTGTGTTGAGCAGGGGGTTGGACTTGATGGCCTCTTAGGTCCCTTCCAACTCCACAGTTCTTTGACACCATACCCAGAGGACTTCAGTGGGGGACGTTCCACCCCGGGCATCTTGGCCCACCGCTGCGGGGCCCCCCTTCCCAGCTTTCCGATGCCTTTCCTGCCTCCCCGGGGTTCAGCGGGCCACGCCGCCTGACCTCCGGATCTTCAAAAGAACCCCCACCCCAGCCCATGCAGAAGATTAGCAACCCAGCTGTGCTCGGCCGAAGCCCCAAAGCGAAACAAACGCTCGCTGACGGCTTTGCCCTTGCCCGCAAATCCGTAAGCATCGCCTGTTTCTCTTGGCTAAGCACCTCGGGAAGCAGTGGGGAGAAAATGCAACACGAGGCAGAATTTTTCCTCCCTCCAGTTTCCAAAGCACTCCCCCGCGGATCGGCTAGCGGCCTTCCCTCCACTCTCCTGGTCGGCTTTGTTTTTCTCCTCTTGTTATGAAACCGCAGGGCTAAGGCGGTGAAGGCTGCCAACCTCGGCACCTGCTGACCCCCAACCCCGTGTTTGGGACTCCAAAATCAAGGGAGGCCCCGCCTCCCCGTTTGAAGGCTCCGCCTCTCTCCCTTCTGCCCCAAGAGTTGAGAGCAATCGGAGTGCGAGGACTAATCAATTCCTGAGAGCATGGGCCTTTGCAAACACACAGCCCACTCACCCTCCCCAAGACAAAACATTTTTGCCGGTGAGGTTCATAAATACAAGGGCTTAAAACACGTCATCTCCCTTTGCAGCTGGAGACTGGACTTCACCGTTGACTGGGGTTCTCTCTCAGGGGATGGGTAGCCCACACTGCAAGCGCCTATGCACAAAACAGTAGCGTTACTGGCAGGCTCATGAGAAAAGAAAATAACAAAAAATAATCATCTTGTCTCCTCCTCCATTAGGGCCCAGGAGGAAGCTTTCAAATTTTTAAAATTAGTATTGTTACAGTGGTGCCTCGCTAGACGATGATAATCTGTTCCACTGAAATCGCTGTTTAACGAAATCATCGTCTAGCGAAAAAGCATTTCCCCCGTTGGAATGCACTGAAACCTGTTTAATGCGTTCCAATGGGGAAGAATCGTCGTTGTCTAGCGAAGATCGGCCATAGGAAAGCCGCTTTGCGAACCGCCGATCAGCTGTTTAAATAGCTGTCTTGCAACACCTAGGTCCCGGAAACACCCGTTTTGCGAGTGCGGAGGGAGCTGTCAAAATTGTTGTCTAGCAAAAATCGGTTTGCGAAGCAGGGACCAAACATTGTCCAGCGAAATTCCCCCATAGGAATCACTGTTTTGGAAATCGCTATAGCGACCGCAAAAAGTCAATGTCTAGCGAAAAAACTGTCATGCGGGGGTAACTGTCTAGCGAGGCACCACTGTATTGTTATTATTTCTAAAAGTCACTGTGCTTAATTGGTTTGCCAACCACCCAATTCAGTGCTGCCTTGCAAAGGCTTAAAAACCCCGGAAAACTTTGCCACGTGCTCTTTCTCCCCCTCCATAGGGCACGGAGGAAGCTTTTGATTCTCAAGATCGTGAAGCCACTTAGACCAATGGACAGCTCCGTCACTCTGTTTTGGTTTGATCCCGGCGGCCACACAGGCTGGAACTGAACCAAAGTGTAGCAGCCCTAGCTGCAAAACAAACAAACCCAATGAAACAACAACAACAACAAAGCCAGACAACCCAGTAATGCCTGACAGGGACCTGAATAGTGCGAGTAGTTGTGGATCAGGGATGGGCTGGACTGCATGTGGTTGCCCAGAAAAGGAACTAACCAACTCGTCCCCAAACTGGACTAAGCCACAGGACAAATCTGTGCCTTGTCGCAACCTGGGATAAGAAGAAGTACTGAATTAATCATAAAGGGAACGGTAACTCTGGACCTGTTGAGTTTGACCTTCCTTTATCCCTTTGCCCTATCAATGGATAACCCCTGCCAGGTTGTCAACCCAGAGAAGAGGCTTTCCTGGAAGCACAGCTCTTGTGGAAGCGAAGCCTCAGTCAATGATTCCTCTCCTCCCCATCTTCCTCCCTCCAGCTCGTCATGCGTGAAATCTCCCTTCGTACCCAAGCTTGGAGGGGAAATGGCCGATCCTTGGCGTCCTGCTCAGTGCCCTGGCCACTGATCCGTTGGGAGTTATTTCAGTTCATTGCACAAGCGAAGGGTGAAGGCGGTCAAGACGGGGCCAAACGGTTCTGCCTGGCTGCAAGACGGTTGGGCTGTGACGGGCCACAAGCCTGCCCAGGCCACAAGCACTCGGGTCAACGTTTCTTTCTGGCAGGCGAGAGTCAACGGCTGCCATCTTGGCAACCCCATCGGTTGGGCAACTGGACTTTGCGCGCAGGTAGGAAATGATCAACCAGCTTCGTTTCCCCAGGACGGTCTTCAAGCATCAGACGTTGGACCCTTGGGTCAAGGAAGGAGCAGCCGTGAGGTTACTAGGGTCTGCTTTCTGTGTTGTTTTTTTTCATGAGATGCCTGAGCCTAAATCCAGTGGTTGCTTTCCATGGGAGCAGGCCCATTTCATCAATAGGGCTTCTATAAAGGTTGGACTTACCAAGGTTCCATTAATTCTACGGAATAATGGGCTCAAGTGACAGGAAGCCAGATTTAGGCTGAAGATCAGGAAAAACTTCCTTACTGTTAGAGCAGTACGACAACGGATCCCATCACCTTAGGAGGTGGTGAGGGCTCCAGCGATGGAGGCATTGAAGAGACAACTGGACCACCCTCTTGTCAGATCTGCTTTGATGTGGATTCCTGCACTGAGCAAGGGGGTTGGACTACATAGCCTTAGGGGCCCCTTCCCACTCCACGATTCTACGGTCTTTCCTTCCTTTGACACAGCCAGGGGCTTCAAAGGCAGTTTTCATGGGGCTTTAGGGTCAGAAAGAAAAAGCAGAACAATTAAGAGATTTTTTTTTTGAAGAGAACACTGTGAGAAACTGTCCTTCCTTGCGGGCGATCAGTGATTCAATAATCCTAGCCTTCAGGCGAGCCAGAATTTGAGATGATGCTGATTTGTAAACCAACACATTTCCTTCATCTTGAAATGCTGCATGCGGACAGCTCAGCCTCGAACCCAACAATCATTCTCAAAAAAAGAGAGCAAAATTCTCCTCGTCTCACAAGGACTGATAAATCAGATCCGTTCCAATCTCCATAAATATTGCAGTGCTGTAAACGTAAGGCGATTCCATCTGGTCTGCACATCAGTCTGGGTAAACAAGATGCAGGAGGGACTCGTATTTTGTATGTGATTTCCCCTGCAAAATGTATTTATCATTTATATTTCTATTCTGTTTTTTTCTTCCAATGAGCCTAAGGGTTCTCCTCTCCTTGACTTTTCCACACAACAACCCTCAGAGGTAGGACGGGTTGAGACAGAGAGGCTGACCAAAGGATCAACCAGATAATTTTGCAATTTAGTGGGGAAAACCCTGGATCGCCCAATGTGCTCAGACAACACACGATAATTACTCTACCAGGTGGATTCTTTGCTATCAGATACCGTATTTTTCGCTCCATAAGACGCACCTCTCCATAAGACGCACCAAATTTTTAGGAGAAGAAAACAGGAAAAAATAATCTATTTTCTTCACTCCATAAGATGCACAGACTTTTCACCCCCCTGTTTTGTGGGAAAAAGTGTGTCTTATAGTGCGAAAAATACAGTATATTGTTCTACATAGTTAGGGGCGAACGAAAAATTCAAAGAAGATCACGATCTGAAAGATAATTTCATTCTGATTGATTGATTAGAATTGAATAGAGGAATTCGCTTAAGCCAACTAAAACAACTTAAACAAAACTGAACTCAGGGAAAATCTACCCTATCACCGAGCACACCTAACAGATTTTTACAGTCCATAAATTTGGGAGAAGGAAAAAAGAGACAAGCCTACGTAAATCAGTGTTGACACCCACCTCTGCCAATTACTGGATAATCAGCAAGAAAAAGCAAAGGTTATATTATCGCACCAGGCTTACGACTGTGTTCAGATTCAGAGGAAGGTCTGTTCTGCTTTGGTCAAACTTCACCTAAAATACTGGGTCCATTTATGGGCACCAGAGATCAGGAGACGCTGGAATGTGTCCCAGAAGGGCATGATCAAGAAAGCGAAAGGTCTGGAAAAGTTGTCCTTGGACCAACGGTTGACAAAGCTAGATGGTTTTTTAGCCTGGGGAAAGAGAAAGCTGGGAAGTGCCATGGTGGCCGTCTTCAAAGATTTGAAGGCTGCCACGTAGAAGATGGAGCTAGCTTATTTTCTGGGATTCCAGAAGGGAAGGCCTGAAGGAATAGATTCAAAATAGAGGAGATTATGCCTAAACATTAGGAAGAATTTTTTTTGACAGTGGAAGGAACAGCCTCAAAGGGTGGCGAGCTCTCATTCATTGATGATTCATTGACCCTTCTAGCTTTACAAATCTACAGTGCCATAATTCTCCCTCCACCCCTTCCTCTTTGGATTGGCGACGTCCGTTGTGTGATGCAATGCAAGGTCCACCGGTCGGGCCGGCCTGTCCCTTGGCCCCTTGAGCATCTTTCCGGACCATTTAGCAGCCCACGCTGCCTCCCCAAGGAAAGTAATACTTTAACCCGTGTGGCGCTTTATATAACGGGCTGAGCCAAATGGTGGAGGTACCACCGGTGAAGCCACAGCGTTCTCCACTTCTCCTTCTCCACTGGGACGGAGGTCCACCCTCAAGCCACGGACTGCTTATTTGGTGCATAAAGGAAGTGTAAGGAGGCAGGAGGGATATTAAAAGTAAGGAAGTCCAGAATCTCCACCTTTCTTTTTAAAAAAAGGGGGGGGAGCACCATTCTAGCTGCTTTGAGAACGGCCCACTCTTCTACCGTTGTGCCCATCGTTTGTTACTCGTAAAGCTCAAACCAACTGCGCCCTCTTCAGCTCCTTCCTTGTGCCGGCCAGCCGCCTCGCCATGACGTTTGCCGAAATCCTCGACAACTTAGGCGGGATGGGGCACTTCCAAAGGCTTTCGGTGGCCTTCTTGGCTATCCCCTTGATGATGTTGGCCGGACACAACATGCTGCAGAACTTCACCGCCGGGATTCCCGGGCACCACTGCCAAATCCGCATCACGACGACGGCCAACGCGACCCGCTTCGGCCACCCCAACGTCAGCCAAGAGTTGGGAGCCCAGAGCCTCCTCCGAATCTCCATCCCCATGGACGGGAACCAGAAAGTTGAGAGGTGTCGCCGTTTCGTCACCACCCAGTGGAGGCTCCTGGACCCCAATGCTTCTCTCGCCAACGACACCGCTGTGGACACCGAGCCGTGTCCTGAGGGTTGGACCTACGACAGGAGCGTGTTCAAGAACACCATCGTCAGTGAGGTGAGTGCCAAGACCCTACTAGAGAGGGTTTGGTTGGTTTGAGCAAACGAAGCCCAGAGCTTGAGAAATTAAGAACATAAGAATTGGCCCTTCTCTTGAGTTGGTTCGTAGAATGATAGAATCATAGAATAATGAGGTTGGAAGGGACCTATGAAGCCACTGAGTCCAACGCCTTGCTCAATGCAGAAATGGATATCTGCTAGGGGGTTGTCTAAATGTCTCTTGAACGCCCCCAGTGTTGACACACTCACCCTTTCTCAAGGGTTATTGGTTCCATTGTCGTACTGCTCTAACAGTTAGGAAGTTTTTTTCTAATATTCAGCCGAAATCTGCCTTCCTGTAGCTTGAGCCCATTGTTGTGTGTCCTGCACTCTGGGATGATGGAGAACAGATCCTGCCCCTCCTCCTCCGTATGAATACCTTTCAAGTATTTGAAAAGTGCTCTCCTGCCCTCAGTCTTCTTTTCTCATCTGCCAACAGCTTTCCAATTTCCAAATTGGATTCTCTCCAAGAATTGGAAGCCGCTGGTAATAGCTAGGGGTCTCTCACCCAATGAGGAACTAAGCGAAATCCTCCTTAACTTCCAGAATCAGATGAGACCAAGTGTGTCCCCAGGTTGGTACAAAAGTTCTGTAAAAACTTTTGTTTTTCAACAGCAGGATTTTTCTTAAAACACGCTTCCGTTGGCTGATTTTTCAGGAAGGATGCTTTAGGGCCTTAGGGGAAATGGATATTTCTTTACGGCTAATGGTAGGGTGAGTGGGACATGGTGGCGCTGCGGGTTAAACCGCAGAAGCCTCTGGGCTGCAAGGTCGGAAGACCAGCCGTCGTAAGATCGAATCCACGCAACGGAGGGAGCTCCTGTTACTTGTCCCAGCTCCTGCTGTTCGAAAGCATGTAAAAATGTCAGTAGATAAATAGGGACCACCTCGTTGGGAAGGTCACAGCGTTCCGTGTCTAGTCGCGCTGGCCACAAAAACTGTCTTCGGACAAAACGTTCACTCTACGGCTTGGAAACGGGGATGAACCCTGCGCCCTAGAGTCGGACACGACTGGACTAAATGTCAAGGGGAACCTTTACCTTTACCTAACCGTAGGGTGAAGGTTGTTGTGATGGTTAAGGTTTGAGCTACCTATACACATTTTGCATTCCCTAACTTCAATGAGGCCAGCTTACGGACACCACCATAGCACGTCGATTCTGATTCGTGGCTGTGGTGGGGGGTGCAAGTGAGGCCTTTTCTGTTGTCGCTTCCAGACTTTGCAGCGGTTGGAACAATGCAGTTGCAACGTCAAAAAAGCTATGAAATGTGTTGTGGATCATTTTTGTGCTCGCTCCTTTGGGTCTGTTTAAAAAACAAAGCCAAACAAAACGTGGAAAGGCACAGCTCGGAGACATTATAACTTTTCCGTTGACAACATTGGAGAGGACCTCCTTTCGTCCTTCTCCTACAAAACATTGATCTCTGGTGCGTTCGATGTCCCCTTCCTGGGGGGTCAGGGTTCGAGGGCTCAGCTTCTGCGTCTCATTTATAGGGCTTGAGAAGTAATTTGTGATTGTATTTGAAAAGCACTTTTTTTTTACAACATATAAAATGTGCAGCATCGGACAATGTAAAAAACGGATTCTTTGCATGGGCCTATTTCCAGATAGGTCAACCCTTGCTTCCAACACCTGTCCATGGTTTCAACCAGCGATGTTTCCTTGCCCCACCTGGAACTCCTGGTTATTCCTGGTGGTCTCCCATCTTTGCAGTAACTAAACCCAGCCCTGCTTAATCCCCAGGATTACACAGGACTGCGTGCTTCCCTTCCTTCTGCGGCTAGGACAGCCCCTCTGATGCACATATAGAGGAATCCCCGAGTTCCAGAATCACCCTCTTGCTCTCCATACAATCCCATTCATTGCTCAGTAGCTCAGTTTCAAGTGGGGGGGCGCAGCAAGCAGGACAGGAAACCAAGGGACCAAGTGGAAGAACAGAATGGATCATCTTGGAAGATGTGACGGATGACCGGCTGGAACTTTGAGCTGGAATTCATTATTATACTATAATAGGAATCGTATATTGCAAACTCAGTTCTGACTTACATCAACCCTTTCTAGGTTTTTCAAGGTATAGAGTACTCAGACGTGGTTTACCGTGGCGCTCTGAGACCATGTCCTTAAAAGCAGTAAGAAAAGTGTTATCGGTGGTCAGACGATTCTGCAATTAAATGCAACCACTTACGAGGAAAGGCTGAAAAGGATTGGGCAGGGTTAACCTTGAGAAAGAGGTGATAGGATAGCACTTTTCAAATATCTGAAAGGCTGTCCTGCAGAGGAGGGACAAGATCTGTCCTCGATCGTCTCAAAGCGCAGGACACGCAACAATGGGCTCAACTTAAAGGAAACAAGATTTCGGTTGAATATCAGGAAAAAAATTCCTAACTGTTACAGCAATACGACAGCAGAACCAGTGACCTCTGGAGTTGATGAGTACTCCAACCCTGGAGGCATTCAAGAAAAACTTGGATAATCACCCGGCAGATCTGCTTTGATGATATTCCTGCCTTGAGCAGGGGGTTGGACTTGATGGCCTTGTAGGCCCCTTCTAACATCACTTTTCTATGATTTCTAACTCATTTCTGTGCTCATGATATTGCTGGTAACCATTCAGCCTGGAAAAGTGACTTGTTTGGCCCCTAAAATCCCCGAGTCCACGTGGCCGGTCCTCCTGCAGCCTCGGGGATTCTGGGAACGATGACCCAACCCAACCCAACCCCAGTTGTTCAAGTTCTGTCTCTCGGGATTCAATGAGGTGATAAGGGGGACAATTATTTCCCGTAATCAACCCTTTGTCCACCCACAGCAGGATTTCCTTAGAGATAAAACCTGCAAATGAATCCTGTGTTTACTTTCTACTAGCCAATCCCAAAACGAAGTGTACTTAATGTAAGAGACGTCGGCGAGGAAATTAATGTGCGACATCTAATAGCCACCTTTGATGTAGCCGATGATGGTTCTCTTGGGACTTCAGGTCTATGTGTGTTATCATAATGCCTATACTTTCTCATTTTTTTTTCTTCCCAGTGGGATTTGGTCTGTGATGCCCGATCCCTGAGGCAGATGGCTCAATCCATTTATATGGCCGGGGTGCTGATTGGGTCCATAGTTTTTGGTGGCCTCTCTGACAGGTAAGAGGCAACAGCTGAGAAGACTGTTGACTTACCCCCAAATTACACCAGAGAGATCCTTTCTGTTCCCCAGGTGGTCCACACCCATCACCGCCCCCTTACCCAACCCAGCACTGAATCACTAAGCTTAGGTAAAGGTAAAGGTGAGTGACGTAATAAAACTCACGGGGAATCAGGATTCAAATTCACTATGAAGTCACCAGAAAGTTCAGGTTCCCCAAAGTCAGTTCGAATTACAACACAAGGAAAGAACAGGAAAAGCTTGTTTGCAGCTTGTTTAACACAGGATTCTTGAAGGCCAGCAGGTGGCGCAATTTCAGAAGAGCTACTTAATAAGCTATAAATAGGGAGAGATTTCCTCCTCGTTTCCTTTCTCTCTCTCTCTCATTCTTCTTCTTTTCTTTTTTCTGTCTAGGTGAACTAATGCATCCGTGTTGGTCTCAGCCAGGCCAGATTCACAGTAGTTGTCTGTTAAAGGTGGGGGGGAAGAGAGAATTTGAGGCAGGAAGGAATTAAAACTTTTAAGTTGCTGCACGTAAAGGCAGCAAAGAAAAGTCGTAAGTCGGTAAACGAATAAAATTTCTGCCGGAGTTGCAGTATAGACACTTCCGTAGAGAAATAAATAAATTGCAACAGGCCACTCCCGAGGCCCCAAAGATTTGGCAGGAGAAGGGTTAAGACAAGAAGCATGTTAAGACTTACGTGCTTCTCCCTTTCAGGTTCGGACGGAAGGCCCTCATAGTCTGGTCCTACCTGCAGATGGGCGTGGCCGGAGCCTGCACGGCCTTTGCGCCCAACTTCACCGTGTACTGCGTTTTCCGCTTCCTGTGTGGAGCAGCCATGTCTGGCATTGCACTTAACTCGGTCTCGCTGTGTGAGTACCTCCCTCCTCCACTCGCTCGGATCCCACGATCAGAAGATTCGCTCCACCTTGTCGCTCCACGCTTCTCCACCTTGTCTTGCAAATCTAGACTGGGACGTTCATCCTCGCCGTGAATCATGGGAGTTTGAGGCTCCCCTGCCCCAGGATAGGGGCTGAGAAGCATCAAAATCTCTTGAAGTTTTAGGAAATAATCGATTCAAGTATCATTTTTTTGGGGGGGAGGGAAATAGTTGAATTATTCATTACTTCTGGATGCTGCTATCGCCTGAGTTGCTCCAGTCAAGCAATCATCCTAACACAAAGCGCTGTTGCTCTCCGTAAACCAGGAAAATACAGGGAAATATTCCTGTGGCTAATTTTTACATCGTGGCTTAGAAATGTTTATACAAACCCAAAAGACAAAAAAAGAAGCGTATTTCCACTTCGGACTGAGAAAACAATGGCATAACACCTGGCTCTCGAAATGCCCTTTGAAAGCAATTTTTGAGGTAGCTGGGTATGACTCATTTCACTGAAATAACAAAATGTTACTTTGCAATTGCTTTGTAATTACCTAGTACCTAAAAGTAACTAGTTGCACTACTTGTAACTATTTGCTGATAAGCTCTGCACCTCAGATACAGCTGTTCTGGGCATGCAGTTGCTTATACTGACTGGGTAATTACAGTAGGAATCCTGTATCTGTAGGGAATCAGGTCAAAGCCTGTGGATAATGAAAAATGTGGATTATAGTGAACACTATTTTAATAGTGAATGCTATACATAGCATGGTCTCTGGCTCCCTGGAGTGGCCAATTCTGGTAATGATGCAGTGGAAATACATTTCTCTATCAAACACTATACCTAGTGTGGTCTCTGGCTCCCTCTGGTGACCAGTTCTGGTAATTTCATATTGAGAAATACCTTTAGACAAAAGTATAGTCTTATACATGGAAAAATACGTCATATCTTTTTAGGATTTTTCTTTAAATATTTTTAGGCTGTGGATAAGTGAATCAGCGCATACTGATCCCATGGCTAAAGGGGGTCCTACTGTATTGTGTTGGAAATTGTAGAACGAAGGAGTGTAGCCGTTGCATTCCTTTTGTGCAATTCGGTCAGTGGGGAAACGCTTGTCCCTTGGAACTGGCGGTTGATTTGCTTTCTCTTCTTCCAGGCATGGAGTGGATTCCAACCAAATACCGTGCCATCGTTGGCACCATCAACGGTTACTGCTACACCACTGGGCAATTCATCCTGGCTGGAGCGGCCTATGCGGTCTCTGACTGGCGCTGGCTCCAACTGGCCGTCTCTTTGCCTTTCTTCGTGTTTTTCCTTTACTCTTGGTAGGTTGGCATATCAACTCAGGGTCTGCCACATGCGGAGTCTAGAAGGTTGCTTTTTAAATGCTGCTTAAAACCCCAAAGGGATTAACAAAAACAGTTACCTCCTTGTTATTTGCTACCATTACAGTAAAGGTTAGTAACTACCATTACAGTAACTGGAGATTTTTTTAAATTGTTCTTTCCTTTCCCAAATCTCAAAAGTGAATGTTGTGTTTCAGCAGGAGGCACAGAAAAAGCTCTTCTTCCAACGAGATGGTATTCTTCCTGCAGCATGTAGTGACGTTATACCCTAAGGATTATAAAAGTCGGGGAAAAGTTACACTGCAAAACAGTGGAAGCTCTCTGAGCTTGGCATGTAGATTAGACAAATCTCCATTTAGTGAAGTCCGAGCGCCTTGTTCCTGTCCAGCTCTAACCGCTCAGCTTGACGTCCTTCAATGTGCAATCAAAATGTTCTCTCTTTTTTCCCCGTTGTGTTTGCCATGTAGGCTTTTTGTGGAGTCCGCGCGTTGGCTGGCGATTTCCGGGAAACAGGAACAAGCCGTCCGAGGTCTGAAGAGAGCGGCCTGGATAAATGGGAGGAAGCAGGAAGGAGAGAAGCTTGACGTCGAGGTAGGGGGGTCACACTCATCCCAACGCCATTCGCCTGCACCGCTAGGTCTTGTCCGGCACTGCTCCACCCAGCGGCCACTACGAAGGAGGCCGGAAACTCCTCCACCAGAATCAGGGCCTTCTTCGTGGTGGCTCCACTGACTCTGGAGCCAACTCTCTCCCAAGATTTAAAAGCTTCCCCAAAAACATATCTTTCCAAAGGGGCCTTTTCTTGGTTTCTCTGCCTGATTTTTCCAGACACCTCACATCCGTGTGCTGGTTGTCATCCATGCCTCTATGGCTATTTTCTGTGTTTTAATTTGATGGATTATCCGTTTTATCGCTGGAAACCACCCAGAACAGTTTGACCAGAACTTTGCTAGATTTTAAAGTTCTTTGGTTTCTTTTATTTATTAATGCATTTGTCCCTGATTTTACTTTTGCAATTTCATTTTTATTGTTGTCGGGGTTTTTTTAAACTGTGCATTAGTCTGAGGGCCCGAGGATGAGGGAGGCAGAAAAGCAATTTATAAATAATTTTCTGAGTAAAGAGATAGGCTTCATTGTGACACAATTAGGACAGCCCTGGTGTTCATCTGCAGTGACTTTCTCAAAATACTACTTTGTCTGGGACTCCTAAGGGGGTAAAGATTGTTTGCTCTGTGGATAATAAAGGCTCACTGTCGGGTCGGACTTAAGTCGCACGGGTGACTCGACTCAGGTTTTTTTTTGTTTTTTTCAATGACTTGAACTCAGAACCCTCCTTTTTTCTGGGGGAAAAAAGCTTGTTTTAATAGGGACTAATACTTGGGGCTCGGTATTTGATACCCAAGACTCGAACTTGGAACTCGGATCCAAAGACTTGCCAACGTCCCTGAAAAAGCGCCAGTTTTCCCAGTGTGCCGTTTTGTCAGACCTTTTCCCGTTGATTGAAACTTCTGCCACCGCACAAATACTGTATAAATTAAGAGGAGTGATTGCAGTTTTTTTAAAAAAGCAAAACACTTCGCCGTACAGCTCTGATTTGCAATTGGATGAACCCTTTGCCCAAACTCTTTGCCAGCCCGCTCCTTCTTAAGGGAAGCTTCCCCAGCAATATCAATGGGGAGAGTTTGAAACACAACACAGCACAAAGTAACACAATTTGCTGCACAGCTCAAGCTTATGAATCTACATGGATCAACGTTTTTGCCAGCCCTTTGCCCGTGAGGCTTGGAACGGCCCCAAGAGCCGGCGGGACATTTCCAGACTCTTGTCCGGGAACGAGCGGATTCGTATTCCTACGATCTCCTTCCTTCGTGCTTCTCCCTCATCTTTGCTCCCTTTTCTTTTTAGGTTTTGAAACTGAGCATGCAGAAGGAGCTTTCTTCTAACAAAGCCAGTCACAGTATGGCCGACCTTGTCCGGACGCCGACTGTCCGTAGGATCTCCTGCGGGGTGTCTTTTGTCTGGTAAGGCCTTCCGCTTGCTGGGGAAATGTTTTGTTCCTGCGAGAGCCGGGTTGCGGGAATAAGGTGGCGAGTTCGATTCCCCATTGCTCCTCTGGGAATGGAGTTGATCTTCCTTTTGGTCATTTCCTGCTCTGCAAGTTTAAGATTATACATATAAAGGGGCGGCAGGGGCAGAAATAATGCCAGATTTCTACTTGAAAAACCCATGCATGGAAGGGTAGCCGTGCGGTCACTTCCAGCTCCTGAGATCCTTAGTATGTGACCAGTATGACGACCAGTATGACCAGTAAAACTATGGGGATCGTTGGATTGCAGGATATTCTGTTGTGGGTTTTCGTTTTGGAGAATCCCACATTATCTGCAGTGCATTGGGGGTAGCTCACTGTGTTAGGTGGCTGGATCAAGAGCCAGCGGTCATGAGTTCGAATCCCCGTGGCGTCTCCCAGGAGGAGCCAGCCTGCATAGCCTTGGGCTGCTCCTGGAAGAAGGGAGTCCTCGATACCCAGAAAAACCCTAGAAAGCGTCGCCATTCATCGGAATCAACTTGACGACATGTCATTTCAACGATTAAAGAGATCCGTCTTGCCAGCTGTTTCTGTTCAGTAATGCAAAGCGTTTTGAGGGCTATTTGTCTTCCAAAAAAAAAAAATTCAGGCCATTAAGCTCTCAAAAAGAACGGCTCTCCCCAAGATTAAAGAGCTGAAGCGAGGTGATTTATTTATTTACAGCAGGAGCCCATATCTGCAGGGGATTGATTCCAAGTCCCACCCACAGCGGATGCTGAAAACCGCGTATAATAATGAATGCTATGCAGCATGGTAAAAGAAAAAATAATAATAATCCAGAAAAAAAGATATTTTCACTCTGCATTACCAGAACTTGTCTTTAACAACAAGAATATGTAGCACAGTCTCTAACTTCCACCAGCAATCAGTTCTGGACGATTCATTTTGAAAATACATATTTCTAGGGTTTTTTTCTTTTAATATTCTCAGACCGCAAATAAATGAAACTGCGGATACCGATCCTGTGGATACAGGGGTCCTACCGGAGTTATTTTGTCTCTTGATAGGCCACTGCCTTAGTGAGGAGTGCTGCTCTAAACAGTTCACCACAATCAAAATCCCAAAACCGACACACAACTCCCCAAATTATGGCAGACTCTGAGGAGCACGGATTTTTTTTTTTAACTGATCCAGAGCAATGCAGCTACCTTCCTTAGGAATCCTTCTTGCTGACTTTTAAAACAATGAAATAACTTTATTGAAACAAATCGGAAACAGATGGCTCCCTTTCTTGCTCAGCAGAAAATGGCACACGATGTCCAGTATTCCTGTCCTAAGTGCCACAACTGGAAAAAAAGAGCAAAAGAACATCTCTCCGAAATTCGAAAATGCAGGTTGTTGAAACTGTGGGTTCGTGTCCAGTATTCCCGTCCTAAGTGCCACAACTGGAAAAAAAGAACATCTCTCCAAAATTTGAAAATGCAGGTTGTTGAAACTGTGGGTTCTTAACCACATACTCCATAAAAGGGGGCCAAGGTCTTGATAAATTTGTCTGTTGACTCTAAGCCTTTAGATATTCTCAATGGGCGAGTCAATTTCTCTCAATGCGTCATTGACCGTCGTTCGGATTACCGAAGGAACAGCGTTCTGATTCACCTTTTTTTTTTTTTTTTTTTTTTTGGCGTTCTGATTCACCTTTTTTTTGCACCTTAGGTTTGCCACCAGCTTTGCCTATTATGGGCTGGTCATGGATCTGCAGAACTTCGGCTTCAACATTTACCTCACCATGCTGGTCTTCGGGGCGGTGGACTTCCCCGCCAAGTTCATCTCGGTCCTGATTATTACCTTCGTTGGCCGACGGTTCTGCCAAGCTTTCTCCCTCATCCTGGCCGGACTGTGCATCTTAGCCAACATCTTTGTGCCTCAAGGTGAGGGTTGCACAACAGGAACGTGGTGGTGGTGGTGGGGACATGGAGAAACAGGATGTGACTGATGTCTAGCAAGGCAGTGTAGACATCATATTTCAACGTTTTTTAAATAAAAGCAAAACAATGCTTTTAAAGCTGAAAAATCAGCATTCAAACAGACCCCATGGACCAGAGCACGCCAGGCCCTCCTGTCTCCCACTGCCTCCCAGAGTTGTGTCAAATTCATGTTGGTCACTTCAATGACCATGTCCATCCATCTCATCCTCGGTCGTCCCCTTCTTCTCTTGCCTTCACACTTTCCCAACATCAGGGTCTTTTCCAGGAAGTCTTCTCTTCTCATGATACGGCCAAAGTATTGGAGCCTCAGCTTCAGGATCTGTCCTTCCAGTGAGCACTCAGGGTTGATTTCCTTCAAAATGAATAGGTTTGTTCTCCTTGCAGTCCAGGGGACTCCCAAGAGTCTCCTCCAGCACCACAATTCAAAAGCATCCATTCTTCGTCTGTCAGCCTTCTTTATGGTCCCGCTCTCACTTCCGTACATCGCTCCGCAAAAACCATAGCTTTGACTATTCGGACTTTTGTTGGCAAGGTGTTGTCTCTGCTTTTTAGGATGCTGTCAAGGTTTGTCATCGCTTTCCTCCCAAGAAGCAGGCGTCTTTTAATTTCGTGGCTGCTGTTACCATCTGCAGTGATCATGGAGCCTAAGAAAGTAAAATCTGTCACTGCCTCCATATCTTCCCCTTCTATTTGCCAGGAGGTGATGGGGCCAGGTTTGTTCTCCATGGATAGGTTGAGATGGCTGGACAGTGTCTGCGAAGCAACCAACATGAAATTGACACAACTACAGGAGGCAGTGGAAGATAGGAGGGCTTGGCATGCTCTGGTCCATGGGGTCACAAAGAGTCGGACACAACTAAATGACTAAACGAACGAATGAACAAACAATGGGACCAGTGGCCATCATCTTAGTTTTTTTGATGTTGAGCTTCAGACCCTTTTTTGCGCTCTCCTCTTTCACCCTCGTTACGAGGTTCCTTAATTCCTCCTCACTTTCTGCCATCCGAGTGGTATCATCTGCATATCGGAGGTTGTTGATATTTCTTCCGGCAATCTTAATTCCGGCTTGGGATTCCTCCAGTCCAGCCTTCCGCATGATGTATTCTGCATATAAGTTAAATAAGCTGGGGGACAATATACAGCCTTGTCGTACTCCTTTCCCAATTTTGAACCAATCCGTTGTTCCATATCCAGTTCTGACGGTTGCTTCCTGTCCCACAAAGTAGGAGGTTCCTAAATGTAAGCAATCTGAAACTTCTGAACGAAACATCAAATATTCAACTCCAACTTTGGTGTCAAAGGAGGAGAGCTTGTCGGAATGTACGTGTGAGATTTATTCTGGAATTCAATGCAGTGGAAAAAGGCAAGGATTCTCTCTGGCAGATGACCCCGGAGCATAAACCATTCTGTTTCTTTCTGCCCTAGATTTGAGCAATCTGCGGCTCACCTTTGCTGTGATCGGGAAAGGCTCCTTAGCAGCTTCCTTCAACTCTGCCTACATCTTTACCGGAGAACTTTTCCCAACCGTGATCAGGTGGGTCAAAGAATTCAGGCTTCAGTTCTGCTTCCCAGTGGGTGTACAACCCCTGTGCTTTGCTGGACCGGGAACAGCCTTATTTCAGGGCTGTCCCTCATTTAATACTAATAGTATGCATTCCTTAGAAAGATACTGCTTATTTGTTGATCCCCCCTTCCTTTTTTAAAAAA